GAAAACAGAATTTACTGCACTTACAGATCCTGGAGACAGGAAGTATGGCAGGTTGTACAGAGCCAAAAGGAAGCACCTAGGTCAGTCCTGAGGTACACACAGCAAGAGTGAGGGCAGACCCTATGTTGAAGGACACAGGGTAAGCATCTTAGGATTGACTTTTAGCTCTTAGTTATACAGATGGTTCTTGGTTGCCTGATCACTGACCCTGGGATGGATCTAGGCCTCTTGTGACCTATGAAAAAGGCTGGCTCTGGACTGTTAATGTTCTCCTCAAAGGGATGCTCAGTCGGGATTTTTAGAATGCCAAAAATCATAATACACAGAAAATGAAAATATATACAATATATATTTATTGGATCAGTAAATGAATGACTAAATGGTACTGGCCCATAGGTAAACAAGTAGATCATTACGCCAGATTAGGAGGTCCTTAATTTCATTATTATAAACATGTACTAGATAGTTTTTGTGGGTTATTTATTTATATATTTATTTATCTAATGTGTGAGTACACAGATGCATACTTACATGCCATGGTGTGCATATGGAGACCAGAACTTGCATGAGTCAGTTCTTTCCTTCTATTGGGTGTGTTCCAGGGATTTAGCTCCAGCATCAGATTTGGTAGCAGGTGCCCACTGAGCAATCTCACTAGCCCTTGTTATTTATTTCATAAAAGAGAAGACACATTTCAGTTGTGGGTAATTGATGGTTTACTTTTAATGCTCACGCCTTTTGTAATTGACTTCATTCATTTGGAGAAAATTAATCTAGATCTTATCTAAAAAATGGTAGATTGATTAAACACTTAAGTACAGAAAAGAAAGTTGTAGTGTTTCGTTCTAATTTCCCTTCTGTTGCTATGATAAAACACTGACTAAAAGCAACTTTGGGAGGAAAGGGTTTATTTGGCTTGTACTTCCATGGAATACTCCATCATTAAGAGAAGTCAGGGCAGGAACTCAAGGCAGGAACCTAGAGTCAGGAAACTGGAGGAATGCTACTTACTAGCTTGCACTCTTTGCCCATAGTCTCATGTTTAGCTGGTCCTGGCTGGCCTGGAACTCATTATTTAGTCCAGGCTGGCCTTGAACTCAGAGATCTGCCTGCCTCCGCCTCCTGAGTCCTGGGATTAAACTTGGCACCACCATATGCAGTCTTGTAAAGGAGATTTCTTTTTTTTATTTATTATTTTTATTTTATGTGTATGAGTATATATTGCCTGCCTGAGTATAAATGCACCCATGTTGTGCAATGCCCCAGGTGGTCAGAAGAAGGCATCGGATCCCCTGGAACTGAGTTACAGACGATTGTTAGCTGCCATGTGGGTGCTGGGAATCGAACCTGGGTCCTCTGCAAGAGCAGCCAGTCCTCTTAACCTCTAAGTCATCTCTCCAGCCCTGTAAAGGAGATTTTAATTGCTTATTTGAGGCAAAGTCTCACCCTATCACCCAGGCTGACCTCAAACTTTTTATGTAGCCCATACTGGCCTTTGACTCAAGATCCTCCTGCTTCAGTCTCCTCTTGAGTGCTGAAAGGGAGTTTTTAAAATGAAGAAGTGCACATGGCTAGCAGATATGAAATGATGCTCAATAAATACACATACCACACACATACATACATCTATATCTCACACATACATAGCACATATACATACACACATATATCTCATATGCACAGACCCACACATGCACACACATGAGCATGCACATGTGTGCACAAACACACACATTTTTACCTGCTATTCATTCTTTCAAGAAATATTTACTGGCTTTCTACTCTCTTTGTGTACAGTGGGGAGTACACAAATACCCCTGACTTTATGGAGCTCACATTGTAGTGGAGAAAGATCCACAGATAAGAAACAAAGAACAGGGGCTGGAGAGATGACTTAGTGATTAAGAGCACTGGCTGCTCTTGCAGTGGGCCCTGATTCAGTTCCTAGAACACACAATCCCCTGTAACTCCAGTTCCAGGGAATCCAACACCTTCTTCTCACCTCCATGGGCACTGCACACATATGGCACACTTCCATGCATATGGTCAAAATATATACATAATATAAATAAATAAATAAATAAATGAAACAATACGAAATGAATTGTAGATTTGTTGGAAGGTCAGAAGCACTGTGAAATAAAGCCACAGAATGAACTGGCATAAAGGCAATGAACTTGTTACTTTGCCCAATTGTGGAGAAATGAAATTGAAAACCTAGATGAAATGAATGCTTTTCGGGAAAATATAAATGTTCAAATTGATTGTGGAAGAGAAATTCTTATGAAACTAAATATCATATCTGGAGAAAATTGTTGAATAACAACTCTCAGAAAAAACACTAGTCAAAATATGTTAATAGGCTGGGCTTGGTGGCACAGGCCTTTAGGGAGGCAGAGGCAGGTGGATCTTACATAGTGAATTCCAGGCCAGCTGGGACTACAGGGAGACCCTGTCTCAAAAACACACACTTAAAAAAATATGTTAAAGACTGACCTGTGAGATGTCACAATGGATAAAGGTACTTCTGCCAAGGCTGACAGTCAGAGTTCTATCCTTGGGACCCACATGATAGGAGGAGAGAACCAACTTCTGCAAGTCATCCTCTGACCTCCACATATGTGCTGTGGTGCAAGTGCCCATGCACATTCACAAACACAGACACACACGCGTCTATCATCTATCTATCTATCTATCTATCTATCTATCTATCTATCTATCATCTATCTATCTATCTATCTATCTATCATCTCTATCATCTATCTATCTATCTATCTATCTATCATCTATCTATCTATCTACCTATCTATCTATCTATCTATCTACCTATCTATCTATCTATCTATCATCATCTATCATCTATCAATATAATATAAAATAAAATTTAAAATATTTCAAAGAGCAATTGTATTAAAGTTTCAAAGAACAGAGAAACCCAATTATATTTAAAGTATAGAAAATGAAGTGAATTTGTGGAGCTATTTCTCTTAAATATTTGGTAGAAGTAGAAGAAAGTTGTACCCCGACTCCCAATGCTGGATATCAAACTCAGAGCCTTGCACATACTGAGCAAAAGACGCACCACTGCACCATACTTTCAGCTCCTGTAAAAACCTTTTGGGAAATTTTCCGATAGCATCTATTAAAAATTTTATCTTTAAGGCCAGGCATTGTGGCCCACACCTGTAATCCTAGCACATGGGAGGTAGAGACAGGTAGATATCTGAGTTCAAGGCCAGCCTGTTCTACACAGTGAGACTGACTCTCTCTCTCTCTCTATCTCTCTCTATCTCTCTCTCTCTCTCTCACACACACACACACATACATATTTTATTTACTTAATAGTTCCACAATTGAGATTGCAGCCCTTAGAAATCAAAGTACCATTTAGTTAGCTGACTTATACACAGAATATGGGTCCATATTCATTGTTTTATGGTAGATGGAATTGTTGGTGAAACTATACTACCTATATTATTCAGTTGTAAAGAAAAGAGGATCTCTTGTTTACTTGGAGAAGTGTTAATAACCAGTGAGGCAAATATCAGGCTATGTGTACATTGTGTATATTTTGGAGAAAACATTTCTGTTACATTTAACTACCATGTATGGAAAGAAAAGTTTTAAGATTTTTTGGGGGGGGGCGGTTTAGGGAGGGTGTTGGCTTTTTCTTGTTTTTGGCATGTTTTCTTGATTATGATTTTTCCTTGGAAGTGAAAATTCCATGATATATTTCTATTTTGTTTTTAATATTTTATTTTTATTTTATGTATGTGAGTATACTGCCTGCATGTATGTAAGTGCACCCATGTCATGCAATGCCCACAGAAGTCAGAAGAGGGTGTCAGATCCCCTGGTACTGGAGTTATGGACATGTGGACTCTTCTGCAAGAGCAGCGAGTACTCTGAACTGCTAAGCTATCTCTCCAGCTCCTTGTTTGTTTTGAGACAGGGTTTCCCTGTAGCACCAGCTATGTAGGCCAGGCTAGCCTGCCTCTGCCTCCTGTGTGCTGGGAGCAACAGTGTGCACCACCACATCAAGTTAGATGTCTTTTTTTTAACTTATTACTTCTATTTTATGCATATGCGTGTATTGCCTGCGTGTAGGTAAGTGCACCTGTGTCGTGCAATGCCCGTGGAGGTCAGAAGAGGCTGTCAGATCCCCTGGGACTGGAGTTGTGGACAGTTGTTAGCTGCCATGTGGGTGCTGGTATTCGAACCCAGGCCTTCTGCAATAACAACCAGTGTTCTTAACCACCATCTCTCCAGCCCCTAGATGTCTTTTTAAAGAGCTTTTTCTTTCAGTCTTTCCTATACTCGTTTTAATGTGAATATAGTGGCCTATAAATGGATGTTCGAGCCTCAAGGTGGGTGGTGTCACTCGTGTTAGGAGGCAGGGTTGTGAGTTAATCAGATTTTCTCCAGTGACTGTGTGTATTAGTATAATAAAGTTACCTTGAAGATAGAACATTGAAGAAACAATTTTTAGGCTTCTCTTAACCCAGGGTTTTTAATGGGTAAAATCAAGATTATAGATGTCTACCATACAGGTAGCTAGCTTTTTAAAATCATGAAGTGACAAGTGAAAATTCCAGGGCTTTTAGTTGAGTAACCTTTCATTCCATTCTGATTTTCATTTTACAAGGTGAGAGATGACGGCAGGGAATACCTTACATAAACAAAGCATCATGATATTAAGTGCCAGGTCAGTATGACTAACTTTACTGTTCCTTCTGAGGGATCAGATATGGCTTCATGGAAGAGAGGAGGTGACACAGGTCTTAAAACAGAACATAGGCAAGAGGCCCCTGGGGAGGCAAAGGCCTGGGTGATGGTGCCTGACTCTCTGCAGGTGCTGGGACCAGCCACGGCAGACGAGCTCCCCCTTCCGGCAGCGGGTGGTCCGGCTCCTGACAGACTCCGAAAACCCAGTCTGCGACACGCAGGCGCAGTGGGCGGACCGGAAGAGGGGAGCAAAGTGGGGGCGGGGGGCGGAGGGACGCATGCGTGCAACACTGTGGAGGCGGTAGTTTGTTCGGCGTCAAGACTGGAGGCTGAGTGCTAAACTGTGTGGGGCGCGGATGGGATCCGGCTGTTAGTCGGTAGGCATAGGTAGGACCGCTGCCTTGCGGGGAGCCGGGGGCTGGAAGGCCGAGGACCGGCGTGCGCGCTCCGAGTGGAGTGGTCCCTGTGAAGTCGTGGCCGACTATTGTATGTGTCGCAGAGGCTGCGCACAAAATGGCGGCGGCGGGGGTGGGGATGGGCATAGCTGAGGACCCCCGGGTGGGCCGCGGCCGGGAATTCTTCACCCGCTGCCCCGCCCGCCACCGCGCCGCCGCGTTGTTCTGCACGGCTTCCTCGCGCCGCCACTCCGGCCCTGTCCAAGGAAGGAGTGGCGCCCTCTCGGAAGCCCGGCCGCCCCCTCCCCAGCGCCGCGGGCCCGCAGCTCGGCAGGCCTGACAGCTAGGACGGCCTGGGCCGCTCCGCGAGCTCTGAGGCTCGCTAGAGGCGCCGCATCCTGGCGGGAAGAGCGAGTTGACCGGGGCGGGGGCGTTGGATGTGCAGGGTGTTGCGGGCCGAGCTCGCCGGTTTGCGCAGAAGCCGAGAACGTCGCCTCTGGCATGTTGCAAATGGCGGTGACACTTCCACTTTTCTCGGAGAAGTGAACAACGAGATGTTAGGGATCTGTGTTGGTGTGATTCCTAGCTTGGGCCCGGGAGATGTGTGTGCCACCGACTCTTCATCCTTGAGGATGTGTGAAACAGCCTTTGTTGGAGGTAATTGGGAAGGAGGGATTCTCAGTATTACAAAATCTTTGAGCTAGACAATGCAGCCTCGAGCTATTTTTCCTAATCTTAAAAATTGTTCTCGGGTAATTTGGGGGTTCGCGAAGTGTTCTATGTGAAAAAGTTTTGAAGAACTTTTCACCAGGTTTCACCCGCTCATGCCGAATGAAATTCTTAACTAACCAGTTTTGGAATGGCGCACACAGAAAAATTCTTTTCCCTCGTCACTTTGTGTATAAAGGGTTAACGTATTTTTCAAGAATATTGTGTTTGCTGCTTTAGTTTGGAAATTTAAAATGATAGCCTGGAAATATTAGATTACAAGAAAAGGTGAATATAAGGAAGTTTACACAGAAAAATGAACTCATAGATTATTGGACTTATATTGCTTACTGCATTATAAAATTTGACTTATATTCCCATAGTCTTTAATGTGTACTTTTAAATATGTGGAATCCAACATATTAATATACTAAAATATGCTACACCATTCCGAACTGCCTGATCGGGAAGCCAAGTAAGGGTAAAGATAAAACAATTGGAAGAAATAAAGTATTCTCGCTTCATTCCTTTTTATTAGCTAGTTTTCAAAATGTATTCATGTCGCACACATGAATTACCTTGTATTTTAAGTCTTATGTAAATTTTTCTTTGCATTTTGTTTTGGAGGGCTTTTAATCATAAAGTCTAGTTTTTAAAAAAAAGCCTTCACAGTCCTCTCTTCTAAATGTCTTAAAGAGTTTTTAAAGGAGATTTCTGGAAATTGTACTTTTAGGTAGTAGAAGAAATTGACAGAGTGTTTAATAGGCTTTGGAGCCAGATCTGATTTGAATCTGTTTTCCTCTTAATTGGGTTATTTCAGTCTTTCCAAACTTTTGTCTCCTTATTTGTTAAATGATAATACTACTACTTTCTGCTTAGAATTTTTTTTCTTTTTATATGTGTGATTGCTGAGATAATGTATGCGATGCTCCTATCCTTCAGCACATAGAAGGTTCTTAATTTCGGTTGAACTTTTATTTCAAAATTTAAAGTGATAATGCAACATTTTCTGATAGAAAATTGGCCTGTGGATACTCCCTTTTAACTAAGTTAAATTACTAGAAGTTCATAGTTGAAAACCATCAAACTTTAAAATGTTTTGTTTCTATGAAATTTATACATACCTCTTGTATATATCAGAATGTATTTATTTATTGACAAAGTCTTGCTAGGTAACCCTGGCTAGCCACCATGTCACTGGTTAGGGTAGCTTCGAATTTGGAGTTACACTCTTGCCTCTGCCTCCCAAATACTGAATTACAGGCATGAGCCATCCATGGCTGCCTTTGTAATAATTAAACAATTGTGTTAGTTTTGTGTCCAAGTAATTGGCATGATGTATTGGATGCTTGGATATTGCGGAGTAGTTGCTAGAACCTGGGCTGTCATGCTGTACACTGTACATTGATTAAGGTTTTAATAAATCTTTCCAAATTCTTTGGTGGGGGATTTTAAATTTTTTATTTTATTTTTATTTTATGTGTATGAATGTTTTAGATGATTGCTAGCCACCATGTAGGTGCTGGGACTGAAACCAGATCCTCTGCAAGGTCAGCCAGTGCTCTTAACCACTGAACCATCTCTCCAGCTCTGCTTTGGGGTTTTTTTGGAGACAGGGTCTCAGTATGTAGCCATGGCTGGCCTGGAATGTGCTGTGTAGTCCAGGCTGGCCTCAAACTCACAGAGAGATCTGCTGCCTCTGCCTCCCCAGTGCTGGGGTTAAAGGCGTATGCCACCTTGCTTGGCCTGTCCAAATTTTTAATGAAATGCTCAAATTCTTAATGAAATGCTATACATACCAAGAAACAGTGTTTCCAGTATAGGTATCCAGTAACACAGTTTGGACTGTTTTACAAGGAAACAAGAGCTAGTGAATAGTGAACTGTGGTGGTTTAGAGATCTTACAAATGAAAAGTACCATGGCTAAAGTTAATAAGCTCTCATTTATATCCATCTTGTTTACTCATTTTATTCTAGCTATATTTTGTTTGAAATTTATAGTTGAAAATGAAAATAGGAGGAAAATATATTGAAAATAAGAGAATAATGCAAAGAATAATGAAGACAGGAGAGGTATAGAATTAAAACCCATGGCTACATGGGTTCATTAACGGTCAGGAATAACAAAAGTTTTTGATTGAAAAGTATTCAGGGAGTGTAGGAGAGTTAACTTTAAGGTAGATATATTTTTTTGGTGATTATCTTGTGGTATGTATATTTTAGATTATTTTTCAGCCTTTAAAGACCAAACTCTGCTTAATGTTCCAGTCCTGCATTAAGTCTGTATACTTTTATTTGCGTAATCTTCATTTTATTAAACTTTCAAGTAGTTTTTTATTGCTGCTGAGTGCAAGCTGCCTACTTTTTTATTTTTGAATCTTTTTTTTTTTTTTATGTGTGTGACTGTTTTGGCTACATGCATGTATGTATGTTTACTGCCTGTGCATCTGATACTAGTGGAAGCCGAAAGACGACATCGAGTCCCCTGGAACTGGAGTTATGGAAGGTCATGGACTGCTATGTGGGAGCTGGGAATCAACCACTTCCCTGAAAGAGCAGTAAGTGCTCTTAACCACTGAGCCATCTCCAGCCCTGTTGAATTTTATTTTTGTATTTTAAAACAAGATCCTTCTATGTAACCCAGGCTGGACTCAAACTCTAGGCCCTGCTGCCTTAGCTTCCCAAATGCTGCATTTATAAGTGCCTGCCATCACACCCAGATTAATTTTTTTTAACAATGGAAAAATTAAACATCACAAGTAAAGAGAATTATATAATGGTTCACCCATGTAGCTGTCACCCAACTTCATGTTTACAAGCTAATGGTTCATCTTGTCTTAGCTCTCCTTTTTACTTTTTGTCTGTCTGTCTGTGTCAGTCTGTGTGTTTTGATGTTCTGGTTGTTAGCCTTAACCTTAATGGCTGCTTCGGCTCTAGCCCAGTTTGTTTATTTTGAGACAGAGTCTCTTCTGTTGCCCCAGCTGGCCTGGGATGCCTATATAAGCTAGGTTGGCCTCTATCTCACTGAGATCTGCCTGCCTCTAGCTCCTGAGTGCTGGGATTAAGGGTGTACATCACTATGCCTGGCTTACCCTAATCAATTCATCAATATTTAGCTCAAAAATATCTCTTAAAACACTTAGGAAAAATATAATACATATCTAGAATAATCATTAGGAACAATAACCACTAATTAATTTTTTGTTGTTTGTTTTGTTTTGAGACAAGATCTCACTATGTAACCCTGACTAGCTTTGAACTCACATTGTAGACAAGGCCGGCCTTGAACTCACAGAGGCCTTAATCTGCCTCCCAAGTGCTGGGATTAAAGATGTGTACAACCATGCCAGACCTTGTTAGTAATTTCTTAATATCAGACCGCAGACAGTTTTTCAGATATTTTCAGTTATGTAATCTCATTTCCCACACATATGTATATATTAAATTTTTTTGGAGTCAGGATCCAAGTAAGATTTATAATTGGAGCAATTTGTTTATAACTGTAATTGCTTATATAGTTTGTAAATCCATTTATAAGTTCCCTTACTCTAGAAAGTTTGCAGGACTGGAGAGATGGCTCAGTGGTTAAGAGCACTGGCTGCTCTTGGAGAGGACCTGCGTTTGGGTCCCAGCACCTATGTTGCGGCCAGCAACCATCTGTAACACCAGCTCTAGGGGATCTGATGCCCTCTTCTGACCTCTGCCGACATTGCACAACACAGGTGCACTTACATGCAGGCAATACACATACACATAAAAATAATAAAATATTTTTATGAAAAACAAATCACTCATAAAAAAACTTTTTTCTTATAAATAATGCCTTGCTTCATCTACATCTGAACTCATGGATTTTGATGTAACTTTAAATATGCACAGTGGATAAAGGCACCTGCCAACAAGCCTGACAACCTAAGTTTGAGCCCCGGGACTCACTTGGTAGAAAGAATTTACTCCCTTGTTCACTGATCTCCATTCGAATGCCATGGCATGCATGTCTTTCCCATACACATAAAATAAGTAAAAGTGTATTTAATTAAAAAAATATGTACTTAAGGGGCTGGAGAGATGGTTCGGTGGTTAAGAGCACTTATTGCTCTTGCCGAGGACCCAGGTTCGATTCCCAGCACCTCTTGCACGGCACGGGTGCACTTACATGCAGGCAGTACACTCATACACATAAAATAAAAATAATAAATAAAAAAATGTACTCAAGAATGCTAGATACGTTTAGGAACTCTGAAAGAGGTGGAAGTATATAAAGTATATAACTACTATTTCTTT